CCACATATCTTAAAGCAGTTAAATTATTAGGTTTCTTACCTTATTTTAGAGATATTGATTGATAAATACTACGCCTTAGAGTACCTAAGTGGAGTTTTAATTCTCCATGTTTTCGGGTCCATTATTCTGTCCATAATTGGATTTTTTAAGGATAGATAAAAAATATTTAAGGGGACATGTATCTTTCAAAATATTTCAGAGTATGGATAGGGTTTAAAATTCGAAAAAGCAAATTTCTTCTGTCACACTGCATCTGGATAGGGAAAATTACATACTTTTTAAGACAACTTAAAGAACAAAAAACTAAATTTGCAAAAAATTCTATCATTCAATATTTTTAAATTTACGTTGAAATGTAAGTCCTTCACATTATTGATTAACTGTAAAAATTTCAAATGGTGAAGCTGACCTCAATATTCCATCGTTAAAGAAGACATAAGCATGACAAAAACGTGTCATGTTTACATTTCTCGAATACGGGAAAAACCAACTATGACGTCACACGTAAGCTGAATAACCAAATTAGATAATTTTACATAAGATTTCCGTCATCAGCCATGCAAAAATAATTTTTGTGTTCCCCGTTTCTCAAAATATTTCATTATATACTGATTATGATCTATTTTTACATAATAACACCGCCCCTGTATTCACCGAGTATGATCTTGCTGTACTAACAGATCGTGTAGGACGTCATGGACATGTTGGACGCGCAGTTTAGAGAAACAGAAGAGTGGATCAATCTATTTTATAATTTGATAACGTTTACAAGAATGTTAATTTTTTTTTTATTTCTCTTTATTGGTTGGTAGTTAAAGTAATAACAAATTGTCAAAAATTTATACAAGAACTTATGGTTTACACGTTTTGCACTTATATAAACAGAGACTATGACGTAGTTAAACAGTCATGTGACCATGTGTCCTTCATCCCCTTAAATGATTTATTTAAAACTGAGCTTAACACTTTTTTTGAGAAAAGAGAGGTCAAGGTCAAAGTCAAGGTTGGGGTCAAAATGTTGATGCAGTTGAAAAGCTTACATCAGTATGTATTTACTATTAGCATATAAAGTTTGATAAAAAATATCATAAATGGTTTATTTAAGACGTAGATAAACACTAATTTAAAAAAGTGAAGTCAAAGGAAAAGTCAAGGTAAAAAAAGTTATTGCAATTGATAGCTCTCAGCAGTATATATCAGCATATGAAGTTTGATAAATATATCTTGAATTGTTTATTCAAAACTGATCTAGACACTAATTTTAGAAATGTGAGGTCAAGGTCAAAGGGAAGTTCAAGGTAAAAAAAAGTTGATGCAGTTGAAAAGCTTACATCAGTATGTATCAGCATATAACGTTTGATTGAAGTCGGACATGACAAACACCATATGCCTAGGCCATATTCATGCATATGGCAGGGCATAAAAAACATGAATCTACACTATATGAGGATGTTTCCATATCAAAATGACTAACAAGCAAATTCAAAGAATTGTGGTCCCCTGCTTTCCGTGTCCTAGTGGATGGGATGCCATTATTTATGACATATTGTTTCAAATATGCATGCCTTATCATATGTCATTCAAAAGTAATCACCAAAGTTAATTTTTTTGAAAATTAGGTAGAACATCAAGGTCAAGGGGTAAAAAATCATAGTATGCTCGGAAACATATTGTTACATGTAATATACATGTCAAGTATGAAAGTCCTATCTCTTCTCAATCAAAAGTTATAGGGAAATATAACATTTTTGAAAAGTAGGTTAAACGTCAAGGTCAATGTCACAAAGTCGAAAGTCATGATATATTTAGAAAGGTCTTGTCACAAATATATACATGTATAATATGAATGCCCTATCTTTTCTCTTTCAAAATGATCAATTTAAAATAATGTTAAATTCTGTCAAAAGTAGGTCAAACTTCAAGGTCAAGGTCATAGGTTCAAAAATCATAGTATGTTTAGAAAGTTCTTATAGGTGATGTACATGTGAAATATGAAAGCCCTATATCCAATTATTCAAAAGTTATGATCAAGGTTAAATTTAATGTGACAGACGGACAGAATGACAAACGGACAGACTGACAGATAAATAAGATTTAATGTCCCCTAGGTCCCTTTCGAGAAAACGGATGACAATAATGCCTTGCTGTTCTTGAGAAGAAGACTTATGATGGAAAAACATCCCCTGCATTTTTCTATGTAATTCATTGGATCCCCATATGTGGCGCCGCCCTACCCCAGTGGGTCATAATTTGAACAAATTTGAATCTACACTAAGTCTATATAAAGAAAGTTTCAACTTTTTGGGCCAGTCAGTGGTTCTTGATAAGACTTTTTAAATTTTAAATGATACCACTAAATTTTCACAAATTCTTGATTACCCCCCCCCCTCTTGAAAGAGGGTGTGACCCTTCAGTTGAACTAACTTGAATCCCCTTTATCTGAAGATGCTTTGTGGCACTGTTGGTTGAAATTGGCTCAGTGGTTCTAGTGAAGAAAACA